ATTCGCTTCAAGTACTTTCCCAGGGCAGCCTGTGTTGAGCAGCTGCTCCTTTCTTCTTCAGCTGCCCATGATCTTCTTTTCTTCAGACACTTTTCCTTGCCAGTTTGGGAAGAGGAATTCAAAGTCCATGGAGTTTGCAATAAAGCCATTGATTGTCTACACAAATCCAGTACTTTATTCCTCCACATCTTTGTAGCACATTACATAAGTATGTGTGGATGTGGATTTTCTGAGTTAACTGTAATAGAAAGATGGCATTACCAAAAGCAATTAAGTGCCTTGTTCTCCTTTGTAGCTTTGCAAGTCTTTTCCTGAATCAGTAATAGTATCTGATAAGGGAGGAACATCATCACCTCATGTGGGGATTTAAAGTGTGAGATTCAACTCCCAGGTGTTGGATTCCTGGCTACCTGTAATCAGATGCATTAGAAGAAAGAACTTTGGGGTGTCTTGTGTTCTTGATACAATTATTGGTCCCGAGTCTCTGTATGCAGGAAATATTGTTACAAAAAGTGGACTTTCAAGGACTATCAAATTAATTCCAATGCATAAAGCCTTTAATGAGTGGAAGTGTTTGTAAAATTGGCCTCTTGGTCCTTATTCATCTAAATAATGACACGTGAAAACGAACAACAGAGAGGTTACATCTGTATGTCACTGTAGAACACACACCTTTTCTCCAGGACTGCAGAGCATTTTTGTGTGTAAAAGACCCCACCCAGGCTCTGAACATGATATCCACTGTGAGGAGAAAGGAGGGGTGCAGTTTCTTCTGCAGGGTTTCTGAAGTTCTGTTCCGCAACTTTTAAGAGCAAGGATAATCTTTCCAGGGATCAATGAAAAATGTGTTTAATCACATGACATGTCACACTTCATATAACATGATTTTTTTTTTTGGTTAGCACCGAGCATAAATTTCCATGCTTAAGCAGACCCCTCTGCAACGCTGCCAGCCATTCTACTTGGTCTCCCATTCCCTTTGCATTTTTCCAGCTAAACTGTAAGCATCCCTTACACAGATGAATAGACGTAAGGGAGGCTCACTGAGCTCTCATGTCCCTCCAGTAAGCAGGATGACTTTTGCCACTGTAATCTCAAAATAAATTGCATAAAGCTGTTAACATTTTTATAGGTGACTGCATAATGTTATTGCATAAATGTACTTGAGAGATTAATGTATTTTACACAACTTCCCTAAAAAAACAATATAAGCAGTATTAATAAATGAAAAGCAGTGTACTTCATTATGTTTTATAATTTATAATTTATATTTCTATTATAATCTGTGACCCATCATAGCATTGTAAATGTATAAACCAATTTTTGAATGGTGGGCAGGTTGAAACAAATCTCTAAATTTTTCCTGTCGGCATCTCACTGATGTGGGAAGGACAACACAATAACCCTCGGCCCTTGCAGGTAATGTCATCAAATTGTACACTTTGTGAAACTGTACGCTTCTTTGCAAGAAGTTAGATTAACAGTAATTGCTAAGTTTATTCTGATGAACAAGTAACTATTTTATAATGCTGAGAAAAAGTCTCTTTGCTCTATCAATGAAAAGTGCATTAAAACAAATTGACCATCATAGTGTCAATGAATTAACAACTAACACATAAAGAAATCATACTTGACCAGTTTAGTCAGTTTTAGTTGATGGCCTGATTCTGAGCTCAGAGAAATTTTGCACTGATATAACCAGAGGTTAGAAAGGTCCCAATTTACAAAATCCTTCAGGCTTCCCTTTTTCAAAAGTTAGTTCAAATGCTTCATTAACTTGTTAGAGCCACTTTAAATTTCTGAGTAACCACTTAGAAGCCTAGCCTACTCACACACCTCACTTCAGATGTCAGCTTTTGTCAGATATTTATGTATCTTGCAAAGCCCTACTTTTGTTGGGTCTGGCACTACAAAATACCTTTGTACAGAATGCATGAGAAGTTACACTGATTCTATATTGAAACTTTTTCATATTCATCAGTATCTGAAGGTTTGACGTATGTGCCTTTACAAATATGAGCACAGATTTTTAAAATCCTGCATACACTTAAGCCACTTCATTGATTGAGAATCAAACACCTCCTCCGATATTTTCAATCCAGACACCAACTATATTATGGAAAACAAACTGACTTAGACATTATCTCAACAAAAAGAGTGAAACTAGCTTCTTGATTTTGCCTGTTCTCAAGCCATCTGCAGACAATAAAAAAATGCTGTAAATGTAGTCCATTACCATAACAAATGTTACTAACTTGAATAAGGCTCTTCTAAAATAATTTAATTGGAGGATTAATAGGATTTTTCAATTTAGTCCTTATTCCTAACTTTGGCAGGCTGAGAATACTTCACTTTGAAGCTTCATATGATTTTAGTGTAAGAAGCTGCGTTATGTTTGGACAGAATATATTTCAGAAGTTTAACAAAAACTGGATACCTTGTTTTGGACTCCCAGCATGTTATATCTCAAAACAGTTTTAATTACAGTATAGTTGATGTAAGTTGGTTTTGGTGTATATTGGTGTATTTAATGAGTTTAATTAGTTATTAAAATTGGCATCCAAGCACATCTGGAGCACAGTGGTATTTTAAATACAGACTAACCATTCAGGGTGAGTTTCAACTTAATGTTTTAGTGCAGTTTAAATAAAGTATCAGCATTCAATCTTTGCAGGAATGGGAGTATGTATGCACCGAGGTTCTCGTCACTAGCATTCCGTCAGCTAACTGCTTGTTAAAATGTGCCCTAAATTTTGACTGTCGCCAATAAAATTAGTCTGAGCATTATTTTTGGCTTCCAACCCCACTCCGGCCATGTGTCAAGACGACAGTAAATCTAACTGCACAGCTCCTATGACTGCATTGAAAACACTGCAGCTACATGGCAAAACACTGACTTCATATAAATTTGTGCTGCTGGTTTAAATATATTTTTAAAAATTGACAGCAGGCTTGGTGCTGGATCAGGTAGCACCTGTCAATAGGACTGGAAGCCTATGTTTGTGGAACAAAAGTGACATAAACATAAAGGTGATGTGTTTCTGTTCGCACCTGATCTAGACCACATCTGTGGTGCAGGGTGACCTGGTGGCACATGTGTTCTGTTACTGACAGCCAAGGAACTGTGGCTTGACCTGGTTGGAGTATCCACTTAAGCCAACCTTTCTGTGCCAGTTTAAAGTCTTGCTGCTGTTATTTAGTAACTAGACCGAGGCCGTGGTTCCATGTTGTCATCCCTCGGCAGCAAGTTCATTTGAGTGGGTCCAGTGACGAAGCGTCCCACGCTTCGCATCCTTTCCCCCTTTAGCTGCTGCGACTCGCTGTTTGGGTGCTTGTGCTCTCAGTTAGCTGCAGACCTGAAAGCAGCTCACCCACCCAGCAGAACAATTTAGCTCCCCTAAAAATGCTTTGCTTTCTAACATGGTTCAGGTTGCCATCCCATTTTGGGGTGCTAGGACACCGGCAGTGGGCTCGGCACAACCCAGGGGTACAGCAGTTTCTCCGGATGAGCAGGCGGTCGAGGATGGGGTGAGCAGGGAACAACTGAAGCTCGATGAGCTGCCAAGGGGGGAGCAACCCTCCCCGGCGCCCGGCTGCCTCTTGCCTCACGTCGTGTGCTGAAGCGGGTGAAACCCCACTCGGTGTCAAAGCCGGTACCTGCTGTAGGTGCCGGGACGCCGGCAGGAACTCGGGGCTGTGTGGGGGGAAGTTTTCTGAGGGGCGAGGAGGGGGGTTGCCCCTCAGCGGGGCAGGGGCGGGGGGGGACGGACCCCACAGCCCCTACCGCCGGCCCGCCGCGCGCCGGTCCCCTCACAGCCCTCACCAACGGCCCGCCGCGCGCCGCCGGGCAGGGCCGGTCCCGGCAGCGGGAGGCGCCACCGGCTTGTGGCGGGACGGGGTGAGGAACGGCTGCCCCGGGGGGCAGCTACCCCCGTGCCGGCAGGGGCGGGGAAGGGGAGAGGGGGTCCACCCACGGGAGAAGAGGAACAAGGCGCGGAGAAGAGGGCGGGGTGGGCACGGGACGCGACACACGGGACTGCAAGAAACTTCCCCCTTCGCAGCCGCTGGGACCTGTCTCTCGCCGCCAAACGAGGGCGGGCGGGGGGTGTGGGTGTGTGTGTATCGCTTCCCCCGCCCTAGGGCAGCCCCGCGGAGACACGCGCGGATAGCCGCGGCCGCGCTACCCCGCCGCGGAGCAACCCCAGCAGCGGTGACCCCCCCAGCCCGTGATGGGGGGGGGGGGGGGGGCTCGCCCCGCCCCGCGCCTCCGCCCTCGCCCCTCTCCCCGCGGGCCCCAGCGCGCGCTCTGGCACTTTGTTGTTCTCTCGCTCCACCGCGGCGGCGGTGGCGCCAGGGCGCATGCGCGGGCTGCAAGCCTTCACTCCCCCCGCTCCTCCCCCCCCCCCCCCCCTCCCGCCGCTCCATCCGGGCACCGCCGAATTAGCATTGACAGCCGAGGCACAACTTTTTCCCCAGGCAAAGTGAAATCAAGGCGCGCACTCCGAGGAAATATAGTCCCTCCCGTTTCCAGCCCCTGCCGTCCCCATTGGCGGGGGCGGCGGGGCGGCGGGAGGCGGTGGCACGGCGGCGGGGCGGAGCGGGGGCGGCGGGGGGGGGGGGGGGGGCGCGGGAGCGCGCGGGCGGGGGCGCGGGGGGAGGGGCCCCCCTACTTTGGCGGAAAGTGAGTGATGAGTCTGTGTCCCCAGCAAAGAGGCAAAGAACTTGCTTTGCAGACTGAGTAGTTGTTTCTTTCGATTGTTGTTGTCGCTTTTTTTTAAAAATATTGTTGTTACTGCCATTCTTTTTTTTTTTTTTTTTTTTTTTTTTAATTTTTCCTGGTCTTTCTTTCCTTTTTTTTTTAATTACTTTTTTTTTTTTTTTTTTTTTTTCCGTGGAGGGAGGGGTGGCTGCCTGGCTGGCTGGCGGGTCGGTTGCAAAAAGAGAGAGAGATAAAAAAAAAAAAGAGCCAAAAAAAAAAAAAAAAGGCAAAAGAAAAGAAAGGGAGAAAAAAAAAAAAGCCAAACAAAACCAAACCAAAAACCAAACCAAACAAACAAACAAAACTTCATTCGGATCTGAAAGTGGCAGGAAAGTGCCTGGCAAGTTGCAGGGATGGAGCTACACAGCTTGCAAGAGGCGTTAAAAGTGGAAATCCAATGTCATCAGGTAAAAAAAAATAAAATAATAAGCAAATAAAAAATGCTCTTCTATCCCCGGTGCTTTTAGAGGGAGAGGAGGATCGGAAGGGAGCCAGTGTTGCATGCTTAGCAAGTAGCCTTTGCTTCTTGTCGCAGGGTCTATCGATCAGGGGAGGGGGGAGCGGGGCCGGGGCCGCGGCCGGGGCGGCGGGGGAGGCCGGGGCCGAAGCGGGGGCCCCCCCCGGGCCCCCCCGGCCCCCCGCGGCAATGGCGAGCACTTCGCCAAAGTAGTTTTGCGGCTTGTTTGGCTGAGTTTTTTTTTTTTTTTTTGTATGTGTGTGTGTGTGTGTTGTGGAGATGCGGAGTTAACATTGCGGTCGGTGCTTGTGTGAGTGTGTGTGTGTGTGTGTGTGTGTACGCGGGTGCGTGAGTGTGAGTGAGTGTGTGTGTGTGTGTGTGTGTTGGAGAGATTAGGACGAGACTTGAATATTTATGAGCTTTGCTTGAAACTGACTCGCAGTGTTTACTTGCCTCTTTGTTCCTTACCCCCCTCCCTCCCCCGTCCACACACATACATACATTTAAAAAAATCCATTAAACTTGAAACAGTTTCTAATTCCTCCTTTTTTGGGGGTGATTTTTTTTTTTTTTATAGAAACTAGTTGCACAGATGAAGCAAGATCCACAGGTAAATGCAGATCCTTTTTTTTCTCTTCTTCAGTATTTTATCCCTGCTGTAATAAGCGCAGTTGTGCTGGGACAGCAGGATGAGAAACTTTATCAGTAAGAGATCTCATTTTGTAGTCTGCACTGAGCTTTCTTACTAAGGAGGGTGTTTTGTGTGTGCATGCTTTCGTACGGCTTTGGTGGAACGGTTTTGCCTTTGAACAATTTCTAGATCGCAAGTTTATTCATTACAGGGGTTAGTTTACACTTTGCCTTTAATATGCATCTTATTGCCGTTTTTGCAGAACGGGGATCTTAAGAAACAAATCCATGAAAGGCAATCAAGAATAGCAGCTCTTAATGAGAAACAAGTAAGGAACAGATCGATTCAGTTGTGTTTGGTTTTTCTTCTTGTTTTTACAATGCACTATCTAAACATCCGAAAAGTGTCTGCGTTAGCTGAAAAATACCGACGGCAGAGAATATAACATCCATTTTCCTAAGCGTAAAGTAAGAAAATGCATGTTTTCAAAATGAGGTCGGATTCTCGGATGTCTTGCTGGGGGAAAGAATGATTTTAGTACTAGTAGTAAAAAGATAAGCAGTAGTTAAAACGTAAAAAAAAAAAAAAATGAGGCGTCCATTTTGAGTTGGTCGACATGTTTTAGGAATATGGAAAATTCGCCTGTCTTGGGCTACTTTGTGCACTTCCGTACAATGTGCAGAGCAAGAGTTGGGAGGGAGGAGGCTGGAGCCCAGTTCGAGCCATTTCTGGGTTTGATTACAAAACTGATTTTTATTGATCACTTTATTTTATTTCTTTTCTTCTTCTTTTTTTTTTTTTTTTTTTTTCCTCCCCACTTGCCTTTCTCTTCCCTTGGTCTGATCTGACGTGTTAGCTTTTGATTCGAGTTCACTTAGGCACTTTCACTTTTTTCCCCCTTCCAAAAATACGAATAAAAACAGATTAACCTGTTTCAGCTGCCGGGGGAAGGGGAAAAAAAAAAAAAAAAAAACCAACAAAAAACGGAGGAGGGGAACAAAACAAACCAGAAACCTTCCTTCCTTCCTCCCTCCTCTTCCCTCCCCCTCTCTGTCTCCCCCCCACGTCCCCCGCCCTCCCCAAACTTTCTCATCTCTCTTTTTGTGCCGAGTGACCCCCGGGCCGGCTGCTCCGCCCGTGACCCGCTCTCCGCGCCCCCCCCGGGAGGAAAGTTGCCGGGCGCGGCGGGGGGCGGCGGGCTTTCAGCACCGCGGACAGCGGCCGCGCCGCCGCCGGGCGCCCACTCACGCCCGCACACTCGCCCTCACCGAACTGTCCGCACCCCCCAACCCCCCGGCTCCTGTCCCCACTTTCAGGACTTCCAGTGCGGGAAGGGCAGTTGACAAAGCCAGCAGGAGATCTGCCGGCTTGAGCAGCTCCCCCCCCCGCCCGGGGTGAACTTTCCTTCTCCACCCCCCTGGCCCTCACGCCGCCCCCCCCCCCCGCCCCCCCTCCCCGGGGGGCCGGCGCGGCTGTGCGGAGCTCCCCTCCCCGTCCCTCGGCTCCCCGGCGGCGGGAGCGAGCGCGGTTCCTCCGGAATGCAGCAGCCCTTTCAGAACCGGGGCCGGGGACAGCGCCTGCGGGCGCCGTGCCGCCAGCCCCGCAGCCGCCGCCTCCCTCCCGGCCGGGGACCTCCGGGGGAGAGGGGACACGTGTGCCATGCCACCCCCTTTTTTTCCCCTTCTTCTTCTTTTTTTTTTTTTATTTTTTTTTTTAATTTTATTTTTTTTTGTTTTGCTTTGTTTTGCTGGAGTTGTGGTTAAAGTTGAAAAGTGATCCGTGCATATATAACCTGTGCCCATAGGTGATGGTGATTATATGCCACCCTTTTCCTCCCAGTTTATTGTAATCAGAATTTGTCAGCACTCTCAATTTGGTAGTGGAAGCTTCCATTTTGTGAGGAAGGGGTGTTGGTTTCTTCTAACATGGAGAAAAGTCTGCAGAGTTTGAAGGTGGGGGATGGGGCCCCATTCATGCTGAACATTACCATTTTGATTGCTTTGATGCCATTTTTGGAGGGGGGAGGGGATAGAATACCCTACTCAGCAGAGCACAAAGATGTTTAATCACTGTATAGAATCAAATCAGATACTTTCTTTTTTAAAGCAAATCTGACACTACATGATAGCTAAGGGCTGTTAGTCCTTTTTTGCAGTGTAAAACAGCAAGTTGTTGACTCTAATACTACTATACTGAGTAGAAGATTTTTTTTTTTTTTAAACAAGGTAACAGCCTTTACTGCAACAATACATCTTTATGTGTTCTTTCTTCAATATGGAAATAGTTTTACTGTTCTAAGTGGATATTTAGAACATACATTTGATCATTTTCCCCTGTATTGTAGCAACTATTTCAAGGCTGTTTAAATTTTTATGATGATAGTAAATGAGAAGCTATTTATTATGTGTCATGTTGGAATTTAGATAAGGCAGAGAGACACAGTTGAAAATACAGTTTGAATGTTCTGATTCAACTGGGTGAAAAGGTTTTTGCTAAGCTTGTGCAACGTATTTATGTATAATCCAAACTAACTAGTAAACAATCATCTATTTATGACTTGCTCTTCTCATAATCTTGTAAATACATCTATAAACTCTGAAGTAATTAAACATAAAATACTAAAATTCTATAAACAGCAAATCTGGCCCAGCAGCAAACCTACTATTTTTAAGCAAAAACCTAGATTTCTTTTACTGATTTCAACATCCTGTGCAACAAGAGCTTATAAATAAGAGACTAGCTGGTGATGTGGTGTCCTCTTGCTCCAGACTGCCACCTCTGGAGGTCTAAATAGAAATCTTTCTTGGGTCACAAGTGAAGTGAGTTTGGAGGTCTTAGCCTTTGACCAAGTCACAAAACCGTCCTGTAACTTTAAAGACTTGCTATAATTAGTAGTTGCTCCTTAGGTAATGGCTTATAAATGGACTATCATTCCTTGAGGTCATGAAGAATGTGCACTGAAGGCTACTGAGACAACAGATAGGTTAGTGTTGAGGCCGTTTAATGGTTTCAAGCTCTCGCTTTTGTGGCTGTACCAAAACACTGATGTAAACTTAAGTAGGCAGTGCAAGTAGGGAGGTTATTTTTACATATGTATTTACATTCCTTCCCTCCTTGCCCCCCCGAAGATTTGTTTAGGCACAACTAATTCATAATTCAATAATGTATACCTTTGATTGTGCATGCACTGAATACAAAAGATGCTAAAATTGCATCTCAATTAAACTGCACATGTGGATGATGAAACAGATAGTAAAATGAATGGATGATCACATCATCCACATCTGTTAGGAATATAGCAGGAGTGAGTGCTATCTTTCAGTATCCCTATTCATTGTTTTTTCATTGTAGCCATTGGCATTTGTGGCAATATTTCATTTTCTTCAAAGTTACAAATAAAGACAGAAAGAACTGATGACAAACTCAACTTCTGGTGCATAAGGTAGATGTGTAGACTCTATGCACAGTTGGAATGTAAGTTGCAACCTAATTAAGATCCCTAGACAGTCATCAATGTTTCTTTTATGTTAGTGGTTTAGAGAAATATGGAATGAAATGTATTTTTAATATTTTTTCAGTGTTTTCAAATGCGTACTGTAGAGCCATCATTTTCATTATTGAAATGGTGCAGCTTCAATCAATACTTTACCTAACATCCAACTCAGAAAGACAAAAGTTAGACTTTTGTTAGAAGTGTATCTTTCATATAGTATAGTTTTGATGAATTGTAATAGCATTTGAGAGCGGGTTACCTCTTCTTTAACAAGATATGATGTGTGAAGACTCCATTAGTTGGTCCAGTGGTTTTACACCTTCAATCTACAACACATGCAGAGCAGCGGTAACATTTTTATCTAAATTGTCAAGCAACAAGCATTTATATGTAAATAAAAGAGCTATCATAAGAGCCAGCATTGGCCTTAAAAGCACACCAGAGGTGCTCTGCTGCATGTGTTTCTTGCTTTCCTTCTGTCCTTAAAGAGTCATTAAGGGTGTTTTAATTTTAGAAAGTTGTCTCTTATTAATTAATAGATCAAGATAAACAAATAAACAAACCTTTAACCCCCAGTCGGAAGTTACTTGTTACTGACATAAGTATTAGGTGGTAAGCCAGGTCTTAAAAATTAACAGTGAGCATCTGTGGGCTACTATATTTTCAACTGCAATGAACTCTGAATTCAGACAGCCTGTCCTGGAGCACAGTAATAAAAATATGTCTTCCTGAAAGACATTATGTATATGCCATTCACTTGTGCGCTGCCTCATTTCTTTACCATAATTTACTATCTATGCAGAAAATCAACATTAGTTTCAGGCAGATTCTCCTAGCCTATATTGTTGCTGGTTTGTATTTTTGGGCAATATATCTGAAACTAAATCGCTGACTGTATTTTGCCTGTGGTGATCACCAGCAAAGCCTGTTCGTGGAAAGTGTTAGACTTCTTAAAATTTAAGTACAGTTCTTATGCAAGTTGTTGGAAACAATTTAGCTCATGATGTCTGGTTTTACTGATGTTGTATCTTTGTTTTGGGGAAAAGGAGGAAGTGTTTTTTTGTTTGTTGAAATTCATGCTGTGCTGTGCCTGGAAATGGCAGCATTGTTTACACATGTTAAAGGGTAAATTATTGACATTTGCCAAAGCTCACTATCTCAGACAGCTGGGTACTTTCGAAATTGTTGGAGTAAAATAAGGGCTATAAGCTTCAGTGAAAACTGAGGTGAAACCTGAAAGGCATTTCCAAATCAAGTTGAACCTAATGTCAAACTCTGTCCCAGGGTACACACAGCACTCCTGTTTCTTGTGGCAAGAGCTACATTTATGTATGACTCGCTGAAGTCAAGGGAGATAGGGTGATGAGCTCCCAGTTGAAGTATTAAACTTTCCAATTGCTGCATTGAGTCTTTAAACATAAAGACAACAGGTATTAAATACGGCCTTGACTTTGCAGTTCTCACATACGTTGAGGTCCCGCTGACTTTACTGGGAAACCTGAACAACAGCACAATCAAGTGAATTTACTGGATCAAAGTAAAGATTAGTTCTGGATTGTAATTCAGAAAGCTTCAGGTTTTTGGTGTTTGTGTTTTGTTTTGTTTTTTTTTTTTTTTTTTTTTTTGTGTTGTTTTTGGTTTTTGTTTGTTTGTTTTTGTTTTTTTTTTTTTTATTGCTAGAATCAGCTAGTAATTTATTGGTTGCTTTGCCAACTATAGAAGTGACAAAACTAGGGAAGAATTTACCTTCTCTCCTTGGAGGAGAAACTTGGGAATATAGTTTGCATAATGGTAATCCTAGCATTCTGTTTGTGCTTTCAGTGATACCATATTGAG